GTCCAAGATCATTTGCAGAGTCACTGCTTGTTTCTCCCTTTCATAACACCACCTTAGTGCTGAAGAGAAACAAAACCACAGACCTATAATGCAGCATAGCGGTTGTGTGTCTTCAGGTTGTTTCTGATTTATGGCAACCCTACCAATCTTGGGTTTATTGGCAAATTTCTTCCGAAGGGGTTTGCCATTGCTATCCTCTGAGGCTGAGAGAGTGTGATTTGCCCAAAGACTTCCAGTGAGTTTACATGGCTGAGCCAGGATTTGAACCCTGGCCTAGACTAAGGCCTACATCTAACTGGTAGTCCCACGTAGAATAGTCCCATTGAATCAATTGCCAAATGATAAACACTTATATAAATCCCATTGATTCAATGGTCTCTTTTAGTTGGATTTAGACCTAAGGCTGCAATTCAGCACACACTTTACATAGAAGTTTATCTGCTTGAAGTTTATCTGCTTGGCTAACATCTGGATAGGCCAGCATGGCGTAGTGGTTTGGGTGGTTTGGGATACCACTCAGGAGACCAGGGTTCAGCCTTGAAACCCACTGGATGACCTTGGGCAAGTCACATGCTCTCAGCCTCAGGGGAAGGCAATGGCAACCCTCCTCTGAACATATCTTGCCAAGAAAACCTCATGATAGTTTTGCCTCAGGGTTGCCATAAGCAACTTGAAAGCACACAATAACAACAAGATGCACATAAGATTCCATTGCATTATATTTTTTTGTGATTCAAGCTCTTGCACCAGAATCCTATATCTCACCATGTAAAACATGTGAATTCAGTTCAAATTTAAGAATAAAACAATTGTTTTACCTTGATTGAAGTTCCCAGTCCACAGGCTATTCTTCCTGGTCCCCCTGTATCAACTATAGTGCACATCTCACAATACAGAAAACATGTAGGGGTAGCTGTGTTGGCCATTTAGCAAATTCAAACAAAAATCCATCAGTGATACCTTTATTGGCCAACCAAAATGCACAAAATACTTGTTGCAAGCTTTCAGAGTTCCACTTTTGATTGTATTTTATTTTCTCAGTGGATCACCTCCAAAGTCTGCAGCCGTATCCAGTTATTTAAGGACTTTCTTCATTGAGTTTAACATGGAAAGGATAGGATTTTGACAGTAGGTTTTACCCACTCTGTGCGCCTTCTGCCATATCCCTTGATGCAGGGGTAGGCAACCTTTCCCCTTTAAGGGCCGAGGGACTTCAGCTCCCAGAATCCCAGGAGCTATTGGCCAACATGGGACTATTGGCTAACATGGCTGAGGCTTCTGGGAGCTGAAGTCCCTCGGCCCTTAAAGGGGAAAGGTTGCCTACCCCTGCGCTTGATGCATCAATGACTGTGCCAATGCAGGCATAGTGCACACTTGTTGCAGACCAAGATGCTCTCCTCCTCAATTGGCAACAATGTGGTTACTGTGGATATTATAGCACTACACTCTTAAAACGTTGCTTTGTTGTTGTTAACTGCCTTTGAGTCAATCTTGACTCATGGCAGCCCTGTGGATGAGACATCTCCAAGACCCTCCGTCCTCCACTGCTGTTTAATTCCTGCAACCCCTTCATACCCGTGACCTCCTTAATAGAGTCCATCCATCTGGCATATGGCCTTCCTCTCTTCGTACTTCCCTCCATCTTCCCCAGCATTATTGTCTTTTCCAGTAAGTTCTTCTGTCCAAAGTACAAAAGTCTCAGTTTGGTCCCTTGGCTTCCAGGGAGGTTTCCGGCTTGATCTGCTCTAGGACCCATTTGTTTGTCCTTTTGGCTGTCCGTGGGATCCTCAACACTGTTCACTAGCACCATATCTCAAATGCATTGATTTTCTTCCTATCTTCTTTCTTAACTGTCCAACTCTCACATCCATACATGGTAATAGAAAATACAATGGCTTGTATGGTTCTAAATTTTGTACTGAGTTGTACTTCTTTGCATTTTAGGATCTTTTCTAGTTCTTTCATAACCACCGTCCCCATTCTTAATCTTCTTCTGATTTTCTGACTGCAGTCCCCATTTCTATCAATGTTTGATCACAGGTATAGGAATTCTTTTACTATTTCTATTTCTTCATTGTCTAGGTTGAACTTGTGAAAGTCCTTGTTGGTTATTATTTTTGTTTTCTTGATGTTCAACATGAAGCCTGCCTTAGCATTTTCTTCTTTGATCTTCCTTAGTAGGTGTTCCAGGTCTGTGAGGCTTTCTGTTAGTACTATGGTGTCATCAGCATATCTTAGATTGTTGATATTCCTTCCTCCTATTTTCACTCCTCCTTCTTCTGTGTCCAAGCCTGTTTTCCTTACAATATGTTCTGCATATAGGTTGAACAAGTAGGTTGAAAGGATACAGCCTTGTCTGATTCCTTTGCCTATTGGGAACCATTCTGTTTCTCCATGTTCTGTTCTGACAGTAGCCTCTTGTCCTGAGTACAGATTCCTCATCAGGACTATCAGATGTGTTGGCACTCCCATGTCTTCAAGGGCATTCCATAGCCTTTCATGACCTATGCCAGGGATAGGCAACCTTAAGGGCCGAGGGACTTCAGCTCCCAGAATCCCAGGAGCTATTGGCCAACATGGGACTATTGGCCAACATGGCTGAGGCTTCTGGGAGCTGAAGTCCCTCGGCCCTTAAAGGGGACAGGTTGCCTACCCCTGACCTATGCAGTCAAAGTCTATACAGCACATGCTGATTTTCTTTTGGAATTCCCTGGTGCACT